AGTTGATTTAGACCTGTCCGTATGTTTGAACGCGTCGATCTCAGAAGATATAAGAGCTAGAGACTTGAAATTTTTTTCCTAGGTCCGTGTATAGCACGCGCATATCGAGTTCGAGCAGTAATAAATTTATATCTCCTACATCTGTAAAGCTAGAGTCTCCAATTTTTTATGTATACTTATATACATTTTATACATGCTTGTAAAAGGCGTATTTCAAATACTAGAGACTTGTGTTTTAGTAAATACATACATATCTATGGTTTAATCATAATCTAAAAGTTTCATGAAGAAACTACATCCACAAGAAAAGTTATTGAACAATTAAGTTCCCTTAGTAAGCCACCACTGCAGCCAATGCGTGTTTATGCGTGCGTGCGTATCTCTGTGTGTGTGCGTGTGTGTGTGTGTGTGCGTATGATGTGGGTGTATATGATTGTGGGTATTAGCGTGTGTGTACGTGTGTGTGTCTTGTGTAAGAAGAAAGACGCGAGAAATGATGGAAACAGCTATTGCTCGAAGGGTTCAGGGGATCTCGTAGTCGGGCACTCTCGACTAGAGCTTTCTTACTTGTTATATTTTATTATGTGAGTTTTGTATATCATTTATATTTTTAAATACATCGAAATTGAAATTTTAGCATACTACATGGGCATTTTTATTAGTTAGGTGCAGGGTAGTATCTAGTCGACCATTCTCGACTAGAGTTTTCTTACTTGTTACTTCATTGAATTTAGTAAAAAAAAACTGATTTTTATACTCATTCACGAAAGCGAATTATTATACTCATTCACGAAAGTGAATTAGTATATTGGTTTTTTGCATTGTCCGTCTTGCTGTCCGTCTGGTTGTCCGTATGAACGCAGTTTGTTTCGGCGCTATTCAAGCTAGAGACTTGAAATTTGGAACACATACTCGTATATATCTCCGATTCATAAAATGTTCAAATTTTCCCAATCCGCCTACTAGGGGCGTGGCAAATCGGAAAATTCAATTGATTTGCTATGCCTAGTAGGGACGGGGCAAATCTTAAAAAACTGAATTTTCTATAGTATTAGAACTAAACTTAGCCACTAAATTGGTTATGGGATGTGAATGAGTATTCCGCAGTTGGTAACGCCTGAATGCAACGTTCTTAGTTGTTTGTTATTTTAAAGAATTTTTATCATTTAGAACATGGAATAGGCAAAGTTTTTAAATATTTAATTACAGTTCTTTCATATTAGAGGTGCCAAACTATCGATGGCACTATCGTCACTATCGATGGTCGGGCACGATCGAGCGACTGAACTATCGATGGTTCAATGTCTCGATAGTAGACGATAATATCGTCAAAGGTGCGTGATTAATAATTATAATTTTTCTTAATTTTGTATTATAGATTGCAAATGATGATTGATCGTTTTTTTCGAATATGCTCTGCTTCATAACATAACCGGTATGATTGTGCAGACACAATCTCTCTCTCTGTTTGCTTCAGATTAACTCATTGGTGTGACGGTCTCAAATGAGTGTCGCGTAAAGAGTAATACGATTTTCGCTTACACATAGACTCTCAGCAAAAAACTCAACAGAAATGATCTTCGTGTGTATTTACAAAAGTATTTTGACAACGCAAAAGTATTTTGACAATGCATTGCAAAAACTCTAACCTCTTATTTCTTATTTCAATTCATTTAACTCAAGCAAACGATCAGTGCTTGACTTGAGTGAGACGAAAACTGAAATAACTGTCTCGCTCAGAGCGCGAGCGAGCTAAACCATACGCGAAAAAAACAATTTCTGTCTTTTTTATTGTGTGTGTGAAAGGCACTTATTTGCAGACAACAAAAATCGATCACTACAATAAAAACCATAACTTAATAGTTTTTAGGTTTTAGCTTTTAAGTCAAATCAGCATTTATCTTAAAATGGAATTTCACAAAATTGAAGTGTTCAAATTTGTAAGGCTAGGAATCACAGTTTTTTATTGCGACTATCGACCACAATCGATGGTACTATCGACAGCTATCGATGGTTTCGAAATTACTATCGTCCCCAATCGATGGGGCCCACCACCGATAGTTTGGCACCTCTATTTCTTATTGGGGGCTATCGGGGTACTATTGACAAGCACCGATGGTTCCGAATTTACAATCGCCCACTATCGATGGTGCTCACTATCGATAGTTCGGCACCTCTACTCTAGTCCTCATACTTCTAACAAATATTGTTTTAGCTGTTCGACTTGGCTTATCAAATTCTTTATTGGTAAAATATGCATAGCCTATTACCCCCATTTTTAACAATCAGTTATGATTATTTTCTATTTCTTCTTTTATTTTGTCTAGCTCTCCTAAAATTTCGCTAGGTGGCCTAATAGCCTCGGATGAGTCTAATTGTTTCAATCTGGACACTAAGTCCGATTGCTTTTTCAAAAGCTTTATAACTTTTTATACCCTAAACCCATTTTCAATGGGAAATGGCTTTGTTGAAATGTATGTAACAGGCAGAAGGAGGCGTGGCAGACCCCACAAAGTATATATATTCTTGATCAGGGCAACGAGCTGAGTTGATTTAGCCCTGTCCGTTTGTCTGCCTGTCCGTCTGTCAGTATGTTTGAACTCATCGATTTCTGAAGATACAAGAGCTAGAGACCTAATTTTTTGTGTAAAATGTCAGTTTATACCACGCGAATACCGAGGTTTGCTTTAAAAATCGATAAGTTGCCACGTTATTTTTATCAACAAAAAAACTTATCGAAAATCAGTTATAAAATTATATCTCCTAAAAAGCTGAAGTTTCAAAATTTTTAATGTAGATTTAAATGCATTTTATACATTTCGGTTTTCGTTAAAATTTACCCCCCACGCCTATATCCACCCCCTCACCCACATGTTTGTAAAAGACGTATTTCAAATACTAGAAACTTGTGCTTTGGCAAATGCATGCATATCCATGTTATAATCATAATCTGAAAGTTTCATGAAGATAGTCTATCCACAAGAAAAGTAATTAAATAATTCAGTTTCCATAGTAAGCCACCACTGCAGCCAATGCGTGTTTATGCGTGCATGCATATAACTATGTGTGTGTGTGTGCATGTGCGAATAATTATTGAAGTATCGATTGCGCGAACGGTTCAGGGGATCTCGTAGTTGGGCAGTCTCGACTAAAGCTTTCTTACTAGTTTTGACTATTTCCGTTGCGCCAAACGATGTCATTTGAAAACATTAATTGAATTTTCGCATCTGGGAGCTTTCCTTTTGATGAGCAGCATATCCCGGTTGGCTCATTTGTAAGGTGGCCTTTTTTTTTTGTCCATCTTACATGTTTGTAGGTAATAAGTAAAGATATTGAAATGAAATGGATTTTTGTTATGGTGAATAGGATTTGAGGCATAGTTTGATTTTTGGTAGCGATTAAAGGAAATGAAATGGAATTACGTTGTTATGGATTTTGATTTTTTGTAGTTATTAAGGTTATATTTTGAAATCATTGTTTATATTTCAGTTGTAGGACGTAAGTTGATATTAGGTGATTATTATTAGGCAGTAAGTAGAATAAGCGTTAGTTTGTAAGGTAGCACTAAGTAGTTAATAATTAGATGTAAGTGCCGTAGCGATTAGCTTTAGAAAGTAAGCGAAATTCAAATGAGTGGGCGGGCACGCGATCAGCATTGCAACCGTGCAGCTCGAAAGCTCGCGGTGGTGAATTGGATTGCTGGTCGCGTGGTGAAATCTGCACAGCGGCAGAAGAGGATTGAAAGCTGCGTGCAGATTTTAGTCAGTCTGGAGCTCTCGATGTGAGCAGACGCGCTCAAAAGAGAAAAATAAAATTGATTAGCAGATATAAAGGTTATAAGGTGACAAGATTAATAAAGTAAGGATATGCACGTAGAGATGGTTTCGTATTTATTCGTAGTTAGTTTACTAACCAGTTTACTAGTTTACTAATCATTACTAACCACGACAACACTAATTGGTAGTTGGAACGAGGTCACGACCCGTTCGCCGGAGGGTCAAAACTCTGGCAGTAAAATCGCGTGGTCTTGAGTGAACGCCGGCGGCAACGCTGGGCGTTCCTCGATCCGCGGTCTACCAATCGTAGTGGCTCCATTAACACCCCACAGCACGCCTTCGCAACCCCGACCCCAGCGATCTAGAGTGCGCTTGATCGCGCCACTCGATCGCTGCCGCCTTCCCGCGTGCAAACGCGTGGGCGTGGTCGGCGAGTTCAGGCCACGTGGTCACCTAACCTCAAATGGTACCCTTCCCCTCTCCCATTCCTCCAACACTGTACGTCCCGTAGTAACTTATAAATGTCTTGTAAGTTATGGCCCTGGGCAGACTGAGACTCTGACCCCGGCTAAGATAAAGTAACCTTACACATTTTTAAATTTAAGGGAATGGCAGTGCGGGCATTCCTTGTCCAATGTACCAATGACCACTTTGGAATGAGCGTAATACTCAACATCAGTCTTATAATGAAATGCTAGGCGATGAAGTGAATGTGATGTAAGTGCTCGAAGCACTTGTTGACGTTGTCGGTCAATTCCTCTACTTCTGTTGACTCCGAATCTCCGCGCTTCTCTTCGTTCTAATTGTCTTTGCTGGTTTCGCTCATCTCGTGCCTATTTTATTTGTGGTACACTTAACTGCGCCATGCTCACATGCGATTCAAATCAATACATGAACCATTTCTTCTTGCACTTCGAAGATCATCCCTCGACGATTTCACGTTTCTAATCTAGCCGTTTCACGGGCTGCCTCTCTTTGTATCTCTTTGTATTTGAGAAGCACGAATTAAGGCTCTTCTTTGCTCCATACTAACGCGGCGCTCTTCTCGGGCGATTTCTCGTTCTTCGTCAGATAAATAACTCCCGATATTTCGTGGGAAAGATTAGATCTTCTAGGTCGCGGCATTTTTATTAATAATAATACTGAATATACACTCGCACAAAACCACATAAAACAATCGAGACAAAATCATAGACAACCTATTAAATGACATTTACTCATTGGTTAACCTGTAGAATAAATCTTTAATTTGATACATAATTTACACAAATCAATTTCTAAAACAAACATATATAACAGTACCTAACTGAACTATCGAGATATTTTGCACCAAATACATAAATACAGAATCTGACAACAAATTTTTGACATGTAATAAACAAATGAGCATTTATTGAAATGATTTAGTATAATGAATACACATTTCTGAACTCACGTGTAATATTTTTCAATCTTTTTAAAAAAATACACATAATAGTGTATTCATCCATGTTGGAGTGGTGGCGTTGCCGATAAGTAAAAATACCGGGTTGTAGTTTCCTTGTCGCAGTACAGCGACACAGCGCTAAGCACAGCGAAGCAGTAGGAGAACTGAAGTATGTTAATGCCAGATCCCATTAACAAGAATTGCTCCTCCCGCACCACACAATGTTATGTTATTAACAGCACTCTGTTAATGGGATTTGGCATTAACATACTCCCCCCCCCCTTGCAAATTAAGATATCGCGTGTGTGCGTGGAGACCTGTTGGTGTGCGGATCAAGGCCGTCAGTGGAGCTGTGACCGCCTCTTTAGGAGTCGGGGGCGGAGTGACATGCTGATTCCTGGAGATGCAGGAGCGTGTGGTGATCCTGGCCTCACGTTTTGCAACGTCCCTTGTTGCGGCAAGATTGCCCGGAGTGCTCGTGAGCCAAGCAGTTCGTGCAGTACTTATGTATAAGTACCGCACACATCCGTTTCTCCTCTGAAAGGTCCAGAAAACGCTGTTCGTTCGCTGTTCGGAGGGCTCCTGGGCACACGCGGCACTGGAAGGAATTGGTACCGCGTGGCTTGCTGCTTTCTAATGACGGCGTCTTTATCTGGAAGAACGAATGAGTTGGAGATTGAATTGCTTGCTCGTTAGAACATAACATGGAGGTTAGTTCGACAGCACAAGGAGGACGAGGATCGGGTTGGAATGATCGGCCTGAATGAAGAATATCATTCAGGCTCTCATTGAAACCGACCCTCACTTTTTTAGTGGTGTTGTCGGGTACTCGGGATGGAAGAGTTACAGGAGATGACAAGGTTGTCAGAATCTCAAGTTTCGTCTCACCCGGAACGGAGACTTCAGTTGTGAAGGACGAGAACATTTCCGGTGAAGTTCGTGAAAGTGGGCCAGTCAGTACCCAACCGAAAACAGTCTCTAGACCTAGAAAATATTCAAATTCTGAACCCTTGTAGAACTCGGGATCAGCTAGCTGAATATTCGGAAGCTGGTTCAATAAGAGTTGTGGAATTGGGGATGAAGGGAGTTTACCGGCAAGTTTTGGAAGGACGAGAGCAGAAGCTTCGATTCGTAGTCTCGGATTCGAAGATGAACCAAAGCTGCATAGCTTTTGCGCATCAGCTGTAACTGCATGATTTAAGCTGGAAACCTGAGTCTGCACGGATTTGAAGGGCAACTTGATTTTGCGGAATAGTCGCTCTGAAATGAAAGTTGTTTCGGATCCTGAGTCGACTAAAGCACGGGCGGGATAGATAGTTCTCGTGTTGGCAGTCAGATACGTTTGGACGTTACACATAACTTGCGTACGAATTGGGGCTAGGAAGAGTATTGTCCCTGTGGAGTAGGGTGTTATGTCGACCATTACACTTGAAACAGTTGTGCGTACTGGTACACTCTCGTAATTGGTGACCCTTAGCGAAGCAGTTCAGGCAAAGATTCTTTGCTTTGATGTATGCCTCTCGTTCATGGATAGACAGCTGAAGAAACCGAGGGCGAAATCGGATGGTTCTGTTTTGAGCACAGATCGCACATTGTGCTCTTCGAATTCACTTGTGAAGGAGTTGACTAGAGGGGCAGAGTTCGCGCATCTCGGAACTGAGATTGGAACTGTTGGTGCAGAACGATTTCTTCCATAGCCTCGAGAGCCAGAGCACGCTCGCTAAGAAAGTGACTAAAGTCCAGCCAGCCAGTAACAGCCGCTTATTTTCGAACGGATCACACAAGGAGCCCCAAACCGATGCAAAGTCGTCGTTTGTGAGAGGATACTCTGCGATTAAGGCATTTGTATCCCCTGCTGTCTTTGAATTGAGGTGGTATAACTTTTCCACCGGAGTCAAGCGTGGATTCTGAATATAAATTGCAGTAAAAAGGTCGTGGAATGTTGGCCAGCGCAATTAGTCGCCGTGGAAGGCGAAAGCCTCCAGACGAGGCGAAAGTAGCGGACATAGGAGCGGGCGGTATACTCGATGCGGAAAGTGCGTCGATTTGCCCCCCCGGGTGCGTCGTACACCTCTCATACACAGTGTAGCAGTTGTCGAATTTGGCCTCCATGACTTCAACTTCGCCACTGCTCGCCCCTTGGTTCAAAGCTCTGGCACAGACCTCGTTCTTTCAAACTGAGACTAGAAATAAGTGGGTCTGATGAGTCTAGTGCTCTATTGAATACGCCACTTATATTTTGTAATCGCCTGCACTTCCTAGCATGGGATTTTCGATTGTTTTTGTAATTTTATTTAGTGCTTCAAATGTGCTCACTCAAGCTCTCAACTGGAAGTATACAGATGTCCATTATTTGATGCCCATGCACCAAAATGTGGTGGATAGTTGCGGGCATTGGATAGCAAAAATATTATATATAAAATATAATATAACAAACACAAATTGAATGTTTTCTGACACAGAGCTTTAAATTTCCCGGAGTTCACCTTATGCTCGAAAGAGATAGCAATTAATATTATAGAAACGGTTGATAAGATTTATTGGTCAAAATTTAAAATGGTAAAAAAACAACTCAACATTTCCAAAAGCTCTTCTTGCTGCGTTGCCGTCATTAGATTTACCACTTTAAAACTAATGTTGTATCCCTTTCCGTTAATTTTTTCAACGAAACTAATGCAGAGAGGCGTCGTGTTATCATACTCTGGGGCAAGCTCAGAAGCCGATTTCTCTTTTAATCGTGGACCATTATCGTTATAATTTAATTGCTTCCAGCCTGCTCTTTTAGGTGATCTGGCGTACGCATTGACCTTAATACTTGACTCTAATCAGCAATCGATTGCATTTTGTTAAATGATACTTGATAAATCCAACAATTTTTTTTTACTTTATAGTTAATTGATTTATATTTATCGTCCGATATTTTCTCTTTACTTATTTTTTAACGAAATAATCTTTTGAAGCGCTTTGTTGTCGCTTGTTGCTGCTCCACACTTCTAGCAGCATGGAATTGCAAAGCTCATCTGTAATGTCGATTATTTTGTGAAGGAGCAAGAATGAGCAAGGTGTCTTTTTATTATTGGATTTAGAAAAGATTTATACACAGCTTCCAATTTAAACATTTCAAATACCTTTGAGGGATCAAAAGTTATATCTAACGAAGCACACATATTAATGTTAGTTTTTATCTACAAATGCACAATAGCAACACTTTGCACAATTGGACGATAAGTCACAGAACTACAACAAATTTTTCAATCATCTTATTTAATAAAGCTTCCTGAATCATTTCCATAAAAAATATTGTATACTATTTCAAACACCAAAAGATTTACACACGTTTAAAGTAGAGCATCGTTTCCCGCGCTTTCTTCAATTTACCATGTAACCTTGAATCAGCTACCTTTGACGAAGCTTAAAACTTTATGGGTAGTCCGCAAAATTTTATCAAAATTGTTTTTAAGTCGGCTGGAGTTTTCTAAATGAGAATATGAAAACAGTTGGCGGATACTGAAAAACAATTTTTTTGATTTATGCCAAAATATCGGTCTTTTTACCCATAGTGCATTGCACAAAACCAATATACTAATTCACTTTCGTGAATGAGTATAATAAAGGAAAAAAAAAACAAGACTAAAAAAATCTATTTTCTATTTATTTTGCAATAGTTTTTTAAATTCGATGAATTCTGATTGTACAAACCTACCGTCACGAAATTGTGGGGGTCGGTGATAATTATCGAAAAAGTTATTGATACTAGTTACGATCTCAGCTGCTTCGACACAAAGCAAAACAACCAATTTAGCAATTTAAGTTTATTATTTAGTAAATATGCCGTGCATATGTATGTGGAACTTTTTATTGTGAATTTATATGCTAATTGTGTTGCTGGGCTCTTTAGAAGTACGCGAGTGAAAATCAAATAAATCAAAAGCTGCTCATATGTGCATACATGTATGTATGTACATATGTATGAGCGTGTGTTCGTACAAACAGAAGATAGCGGACACACAATTACTAAATAAATAAATAAAGGAAGTAAGAAAGCCCTAGTCGAGACTGCTCGACTACGAGATCCCCTGAACCCTTAGAGCAATTTCAATAATTTTTCGCGTCTTTCAGCTTACACAAGAAACACACACACACACGCACTCACGCCCACACAGCATATATAAACACACGCATACATCACACACACACACACACACACACATACACACACAAGCATGCATACTATGGGAACTTAATTGTTTAATAACTTTTTGTGGGTGTACTATTTTCATGAAACTTTCAGATTATGATTATAACATGGATATGCATGCATTAGCCAAAGCACAAGTTTCTAGTATTTGAAATACGCCTTTTACAAAAGTGAGGGTGAGGGGGTGGATATAGAGGTGGAGGTAAATTTTAACAAAACCGAAATTGCATAAATTGCATATAAGTATGCATATAAAATTTGAAGACTCTAGCAATAAAGGTGTAGAAGATATAATTTTAAAACTGATTTTCGATAAGGTTTTAATCGATAAAAAAGATCGGGATGAGTTATCGATTTTTAATGATAAACTATCGAGTTTATCATCGCGGATATCGATCCGCGCTACAAATACGGACATTTAAAAAAAAATTTAAGTCTCTAGCTCTTATATCTTCTGAAATCGACGCGTTCATACATACGGACAGACGGACAGACAGACGGACAGGGCCAAATCAACTCAGCTCGTCACCCTGATCAAGAATATATATACTTTGTGGGGTTTGCCACGCCTCCTTCTGCCTGTTACATACATTTCATCAAAACCATTATACCCTGATTTCCCATTGAAAATGGGTTCAGGGTATAATAAGTAGAAGTAATTATGTTTGGTGGATAAGTTATCTTAAATTGCAAAATAAAACTATTAAAAACAACTAAGGATATTGGTTTTTTATTTAGTTGTTCGAGTGAGGAGCATGTATGTACGTACATACACTTGCCAGAAAAACTATGCATACAGGCATACGGTGCGACTTTGATAGAGAATAAATATGATAAATAATAGTATTATTATCAATATTATATTTTTTAGAGAAAAGCTATTTAATAACACACATTTATCAAGAATTTTTAAAAAATAATATTAAACAGTTTTTTTTTATATTTTAAATAAGAAAAAAACAACGAAAATTCACTTAGAAAAAGTATGCGTAAAAACTAAAAACCCACACTCATAATCGTCGTGTATAGCTTATAGTACCGTTAAACAGCATATTACGGCCACGGCTTTGACTGTACTCAGCCAGTCAAAGCCATTTTAAATAGTTCTATGAACGCATGGATAAATGGCAATCATTACTTACAGATTTTGACAAAAAAGTTTGACAGCTCCGAAATTAAAGAAATTTTAGGGAAAATAACGCATTTTTCATGTATTCGTCAATTTTTCAGTATTTTTAAGATATATTCTGCTATTCGGGGCGGAGACAAATCCAACAAATCAAAAACCATGAAAATTGATCTAGCAGATCTCGAGTTAGAAATGTAACAAACCCGGCTTTGTTATATATTGTGAGGAGCAATATTGGTATTCACGTATTAATGTATATACATGTTGCTCCACACAGCGACGCGAGTACTGTAGGAGCGACCCTCGCACTGGAAAGGGGTCAAGG